TTGCACTATTTAAAATGTAAAAAAAAAAAAAAGGCCGGCCATTCCTCACCACAACTTAGCCCACTTTATTAGGAATACAAGTGAAATCCAGTAATGCGCTGAATTATCCCAGCTTCTCTCTCAATTTTGTATTAAAGTAGTGAAACATATGGAAAATTAAATGTGCAGCTTTTATTTTAACAAAGATTTGTCTTATATCTTCTAAATTATATCTAGCGCTGTTACTTCCACCAATATAAGTTCACACCTCAGTTCTGAATTGGTCAGTTCTAGGAACTGTGGGTAAAACTTTAGATATCTGTGTGTGGAAATACTTACAAGCAGATTTTCTGCCAACCAGCTCGCTGCACATGCAGGGATACAAAATGGCTCTATAGACTGGACGTTTATAGCATCTGTGCAAGCCACACTGATGAGCTTTTATGCTACGTGCCCCTGTGACGAGAACTAGAAGAGGTTTTTATTATTTATAAACAGAAAAGGGCTTCAGGTTGTTGGGTCTTAGTGTGGTGTTGAGAGTTTGCAGGTTTAAACTACTGAACAGAGCTACACTCGGGATCTTCTGCTGAATTCAGGTTGCTTGGGCAACATTGTTGTTTCTGGTGTAGCATAGCATTTTTTGAATGGAAAATACAGGAAATAGCAGGGCAGGGGTGGTAGCTTTTTCCTGTTAATTTGGCATTTTTCACCACACACCGCTCTGTCTTTTTGTTTCTTACATCAACACCCTTTGTTCTTTGGCCTATTAAATAACGATGTGCTTCACCTCCTCCTGCTAGTAGCGTGTGTTCGGATTCTTCACGCAGACAACTGCGACACGTTGGGATGTGTGTGCCGAGCCGAGGCCATTAGTCTCACACGGTGGCTGTGCCCTCATTTCTCACAGGTCTCTAGCTGGCTGCGGTAGACTGACACCCTGTCAAGACCGGGGCAGAGTCAGTGTGTGTCTGCGTGTCTCTGCGTGTCTGTATGTGTGTGTGTGTGTGTGTTGGTATCATGTTTCAGACCAGGTGGGTTGGCCATGCAGTGACGACGGCAGCGCACTCGGTCCGTGAGCCGTTTCCAGCCCAGGCCCCTGATTAAGCTGCCTCGCCCACTGTACATCTAGCCATGCTGACCCCAATAACCGTCTCCATGCTAAACCAGGGAGGTATAATTATCATGCCAGCTTCCATTATGAGAGATAATTCAACTCATTAACTTTTCCAGTTTGCCTCAAAGCGCTTGGACACAATAAGCGCAGTATGCTACCAGGAGGGGGGAAAAATGTTCTCTCAGATTTCTCCGTGTTCCTCACAAAAGGAGTCAAACTCCCCCCTCCATGGAAGGTAACACCATCCAGGTGAAACCCCCTCTCCTTTCCTCCATTAACCTTCCATACCCTCTGCCCCCTTGGGCCTGTCCTCTCCACAGCTGTGTGAGACACAGTTACTTCAGATAGCCTCTGCCCCAGGGCCACACACACACACACACACACACACACACACACACACACACACACACACACACACACACACAAACCATATTTCAGCAGCAGAGCCGATTTAGGTCTGGCGCTCTGAAGGGCCCGATCGGCTGGCCGGGGCCACAACGAAGCGCCCCTCCGCTCTGACTTGACGCACAGCTTTGAGCACATCGACCTCTCGGCACCTGAGAGCTGAGACGTTGCCTTTTTGGGTCTGGAAGGACATATGTGCTCAGCAGAGGTGAGCACAGGCCTCGTCCGTTTCTGTTGTGCAAGCTGCTTTTGGAAGCATCTGTGTTGCCAAATTGCACTGCAGAGGCTGGGCTCACCGCTGGGTATTTTCCTTGTGTTGTTCCTGAGTGTGTAAACACGGGGTTAACACAACACATGGCAAAACAATAATTTAAAAAAAACAAACAAAAAAAAAAAAACATTCAGGTCAGTGCTGCTAGGGAGAGATTATTGAGATTTTTTAAAAATTATTATTAATATTTTTACAACCCCCGGACCACAGATTTCACTGTATTTTGTGGGGATTTTACATGATAGACCAGCACAAAGCGGTGTGTAATTATAAAGTGTTAAAAATATAATGCACGCTTCTTAATACTTTATTTTGAAACCCTTTACCAGCCACTTTGAAGCAAAGTGGTAGGAGTATCATGCTAAGGAGACTAAACGTTCTTTTTTCTTTATCAAAGTTGATGGGCTTACCATCTGCAACAAATAACCATATCCACATCATTATTTGGCGCCATATTTAATTCCTAACAGGAAGTCATGGTTGCTTTAACGCAACCTGATTGGTGGACATAGGTTTTAGTGCTGCGCTACGCTGTCCCCTAGGTGTTTGGCGTGTTTAAAACAACGCTCATTTGTGCGTATTTCTGCGGATGAAAGCTTTCCTGAAGCCGATCCTGTGTGTACCATATATTTCTTTAAATCAATGTGGCAGAAATATTCATTTTTATAAAAACCTGGCTACAGATGTACAAGATCTCAGTGTCATGAGCTCAATAAATCATGCAGGTTTATTCAGAGTTGGTTTTTCTGGATGTGTTTGATGTAGGAACAAGGAAGCAACACCGCTGTTTGGTCAAGATGGTATTTCCTGAAGCAACTTGCCATTGACCTTGACATGAAGAAATTGTATTGCAGAATGAAGAAAACCCAAAGAAGATTGTAAAAAAAAAAAAAGAAAGAAAGAAAAAACTTTTTCCTTGAGCACGTTAAGTGATTCTTACTCAGCTGTTAGCTTAGTCTGTGACTTGCGGTGTGTGGTCAGTTTGACCTGGCAGCAGCGAATGAGCAACAACCTCCGCGGAGAGACAACGCCTGCAAAACACCTACATCTGCAGTTTGCGTTCCCAGGTGGAGCCGAGCTGCCGGGCCAGAGAGGATGGAGGAAAGGCAGAACCAGCCAGGTGCTCACAGAGGCGGGGATTGTTCCCACTGGAGAAGGAAGCTGGGGGTGGGGAACGCCGGATGTGCAAGATGTAAACATCCATGTCCACACATCGAGCTGAGACTCTGTCGTTTCCAGAACCAGCATTGCGTCACCCTCCAAACCTCTTCTTCACACCTAGGTTCGGGGTCTGCACCCACCCAGCTCTCACAGCTCGAGGCCCCGGCAAGCACAATTCCTCACTCCGGTGTGAGAAAAGGGTCACCTGGATATCAGGGGCCAAGTGGAGTCCAGAGCAAAACAGACGGGGCCCAGTCACGGTGCGACCGAAACTCTATGCCCCTGGCTTTATGAGGGCCTTTCATGGACTTTAAAGGTATAGGGGATAAATCAGCTGTCTCTGTAAGTCAACAAACACAAGTGTGTTTGAGTCTCTGCAAATGTGGTTCTGTGCTCAGCAGACATAACAAGCCAATGAAAACAAAACACCCTTCATCATTTCTGGTTTCTCCCATACAAACGCAGAGGCTGCAGCAGGCACACAGCAGACAGAAAACTTTCTGCAACTCAGGGCAATTACCACAAATTCACATGAGGAGTCAGAGGCACAAAATACACAAAGGGTCATGTAAAACCAGATTACTGTAGGTGTAAATGAGATTTAGAGGGTTAACAAGTGCCTAATTCAGTGAAAACACTTTACTTTTCCTGCTGGATATTTTCGTCCCTAACCCGCCGTTCAACCAGAGTGAGTTCAGGAACACAGAGTGAAGTGGAGGGAAACACTGGACCGTATTCTTTCCCTGCCTCAACCCTAAACCTGCCCGCTTGTCCTCAATGGCACTTTGTGTGCGGAGAGGCGGCCAGCGCTTGGACGAGCCCGAGCGCACAGGCAGAGACAAGACGAGGTCCTGTCCTCCAATAAGAGGGCTTTGGACGGTATCTCCCTAAAAGATGGATTTATTTCGGGGTTCGGAATGGCACAGGAAGCCATGCCCCAAACCGGAGTCGTCAGACTCTGGCAGCGCGCATACTGGAGCTGTGTTTTCCTCTCTGCCGCACTGACGCTGCCGGGAGGAAACGCTTCCACCGCAAGTCTGTCGCTTGAGTCACGATGGGATCCAGCGGTATAAGAGCAAAAAGCACAAACAGCTTCATTTTCAGTCCAACGCATATTTCTAGAGGTCATCTGAGGCCGACATGTGCGTCAAAACTTTAAATGTTTGTGCATGTAAGGAGTCTTGAAATCGGAAACGTTTTGTGCATTTTGGAGATTTAGACAACGGCTCTGACCCGCTTAAACTGAACGGTCGGAACTTCAACAATCCAACCTTTTTTTTCCTGAACAGTGAACGCACCACACCTTGCTAGCATGTCAACACCACTCTTCAGTGTGGAAGTTGTTCCTGAATGAACAACTTCCACACTCATTTCATTCAGGAATGAAGGAGCATTTTTAGCATCAGTGGGGTTTTTAGAAACAAAAGAAGAACGTTATTTAAAAGAAAATGTGTTTTAATGGAAATCTGAGACACGTCTGCCGTTCATTCATTCAAGATGGCTGGACGGAGTGTAAAGACTCCATTTTACTCATCACATTTAATTTTTAACCTCTGTCAAAGATCAAAGAATGAAAAATGAATTTGGAAATGTTAAGGAAATCTTAGAGTCCTATCTTCTTTAGCGAATATGTATAGAAATTAATGTTTTAGCTATGCTAGCTGCACTACCATAGCATTCGGTCGTTCTTTTATCTTTGTACTACGTTTATCATTGGCCTTAAAGTGAATTTTAAATGTCAAATTCTAATTGTTGCATCTCTGGTAAAAAAAAAAAAAAAAATTTTCTTTAAAACGTCTGTAAAGTTGACATCCAACAAATTTATCCGAGTTTCCGTTTAAAAAAAAGTGAAAACGTAGCTGCTGGATCTGTGTTAATACACATGTAATTTTTATAGGCTGAGATCAAAGCCAAAGATTTGCAGTTCAACCACTTGTTGTTCATTATCCCATTCTTTTAAAATTACACTACTGCGGTAATTACAGTAATCGCACAGATATGCGTTCAGGAGTGGAGCTGCTTTTTTTTTTTTTCTTCTCATGTGTAATTAAGGGATTGAAGGAGAATTACCTGTTTGCAACAAGCCGGCTCCACTGTCGGATACCTCATAGTGCCGCTGGATGTCGAGCAGAACGCCTGCACACGGGAACAAGAAGAAAACATAAGTGTGGTTTCGAGGCGTAATGAGACACTTAATCACAACCACTGAAGTTGATCAGACCAGCAGCACAATCCTGTCTGGCTTTATGGAAGTGTTTTGTGACTCTTGACAGCTAAGAACTTTACCAAGAGGCTGTCATCCAGCTATAATCCATGAAGAGGAATGGATTTTTTTCTTTTGTGCTGCAGGCTGCCATACAGCACTGAGCTTAATAAAAAGACCTACCAGTAAAGTCTATGCTTCACGGTGCTTAAGAACATTTATCTATGTGAAGTAATAAGTGTAAAATCTCCTATTTAGAGTAGAAGAAATCCCATTTTTCTCTCCTCACCTACACCTCTGGAAAAATTAAGAGCCCACTGCGCTGAACCCCATTGAAAACCTCCTGATTTTACCACCAAGTATTGATTTCTGAGTCAAAACATTAGTATTGTTGTTTCTAAACAAATATGAACTTTTTTTCTTTGCATTGTTTGAGGTCTGAAAGCACTGCATCAAATACTAGAGACATGTCAGCACTTCATAGAATTTAAAAAAAAAAAAACAAAGTTCATTTTACTCAAACACAAAAAGTAAAATCAGACAAAGTGATCATTTAAGTTGCCTCTTAATTTTTTCCAGAGCTGTATTTCCATTCTAACTTTCTTGGTGCTGTTATACCTCCAAACTGGAAAAAGTCCACATGTGATTTGCTGTTGCCACTTAACTTTACCAAAAAAACGAGACACCATTCCACTACCAATCCCAACATGTTTGATATCGGAGAGCTGCACATCAGTAACGCCCATTAACAATCAATTGATGCACAACTAACAGGATCCATATTCTCTAAAAATGTCTTGAAAAGAAGCTAAAACAGCCGTTACCCAGATCAAAGAAGGATGGATTAGCAGTGAAGCCCAGTCTGCCTCCCTGGCCGCCTCACAGCTAACACAAACCGAACCCCTTCAACACGGTAACGGCACTGTGCCGAACGGATAAATTATTAAGTAACATCTTGGGAGATAATACACTTGTGAAAAATATTGACTCTTCCTTCCATTTAAATGATAGATAAATGCAGCTTTAAGAGCGTAATCTTCCGGCTTTGCCATCCTATGATTCTGGTACATATATATATTTTGCTATGCAGCACAGATCCGATAGCGTGCGGCTCTGATTGTAGGCTGTTCTCTGATTAATTATTAACCAGATTAATCAGGAAGTAGGCCATGACATCAGCTTCACTTTCAGATCCATACACCCTTCTTCCTGCGGTCAGTCACTCTTCATGAGCGCAGACGGAGTGTCTGCATAGTGTTGCGTGAGATTAAGTAATATTACTTGGGTTGAAATGCAAATCTTTCAGTGCCTAAATGTTCGATTCCGATTCGTAGGGTCACTATTCGATTCGGAGACAATTCTTAATTCAAAAATCTTTTTTTTCTACTCAAATGGTCCAGAGATTCCGTTTGTACCATGTGACGGACAAGAGAAAAAGACTGTAAACAAATAGCGCCTTTATTTAAAGCTATACTCTAAGGTTCTGTACCGCGTCAAATTCCATCAGTTTATAGCGAAAATAGGCTCGTGCATAAAATTCTGTAACTTAATTTACCTGTAGCAGGTTAGCCTAGCTGCCTGGCATTTTCTCTAACAGGAAAATATCAAAGAACTAGTCAAAATGCACACAGCAGGCGAAATGTCGTTGTATAGTGGCTGAGTGGATGCCGAATGCAATATGCAGTAAACTCGCAAATAGGAGCGGCAAAAACGTAGAATCGATTTTTCAGAATTTCTAGGAGTAGGAATTACGATTCTCTATAGCATAGATTCTTTATCTGCACCTCACCAAAATGACAAATGACACTATCGCGTTAAATAAGGCGATGCAGGAGCTATTTATCTACGACATTGAAATGACTTGCTGACAAATAGTGACGTTTGGTATACCACTGCTACTAAATGATCTGTTGAATTTCACCAAAAACAAATCATAGAAAAATTAGTGCATATCCAGCGTTTCCCCTTTTAGTAAAAATCTCTAAACATACAAGCTGTTACATTTGAACGTTTTGAACTGCCAAACCACTTTTTCTGCCATAAAGTCTCCCAACACACACACACGCACGCACGCACGCACGCACACACACACACACACACTTTCTACATCATTAAACTCTCTCTGACTCATTTAAACAACTCCGGAGAGCAGGACAAGTTTTCTAAAATGTTTTCAGTTTCATTTGATGACAGTGAAACAGACTGCATGCGGTTCGTGGATCTGGTGGCACACAAACATGCAGAAGTAATTAAACATCACACTGGCATGACAGAAACCATCGGGGCCTTTGAAGACATTTCAGTCCTTTTACTGTAACCCAAGATTCAAAATCCGCACCAACGTTTTAATGAAGCGACCGGCATCCCGCGCTTGGCAAATTCTCAGGGCCAGGATGCAGATGAAAAGTGCCGAATATCTGCACATCACAGCATTACGACTTGTTTGTGTTGATTACAGGCGTGAAGGGAAAAAAAAAAGAATCTCATAAAGTTTTTTTTAACACGTCATAAACATCTGAAGATCCCAATCAGGAAGGAGATAAGATCAGAGCTAGAGGAGATTCCTTTATGGAATCAGGAAACAAGAAGCAGCAAATGTCTTTTCTCCTGAGAGCACCAGCTTGAAAGTTTTATATATATATATATATATATATATATATATATATATAACATTTTTAATCAGGATAATAAGTAAGCGAGAGTACTATCTAAGCTGTACATTCCAGCAGTCCAAACAAAGAGTGATGTGCCTGGCAGCGCCACGGCTTTGGGATTGCAACACGGCTCATGAAAATGGGTAAAAAACAAAATATAAATAACACGCTGAAAAGCTTCTCTCCTGTGAACACCATCACCAAGCAAACCCCGGTAGTTGCAGTCCACCTGGATCTCTGGAAAGACTTTCTGTCCTTCGTTATCTCAGGAGGGGGGCAAAGAGCGAGAAAGAGTCCACTTTATCAACAGGAACAGAAAGTCAGCCGACTACAACCTGCACGGCATCCCTGGCAACGGAGGGAGGCGGTGTAAAGCAGGTTGCAGGTGCACATACCAGTGATCTGAGTCAGACCACCAGCTTCACATTCCTACGGTGCAGGAAGCACATTTCAGGTTTACAGTAAGAAAATCTTTCCGCTGTTTGTCTTTTGCGATAGCTCGCCTTAAGTTTGCTCATCGTTTCGGGTTTCAGTGGAACACGTCGCTCGCTGCTAACGCAAAGAATCTGACGGTAACTTCGCTGTTTCTGAGGTGTGGCGCCTGCTGAAAAGGCCAGGCGTAATGACAAGAAGGAGTTAAATGTGACTTTTAATGCTTCCTGAAGAGCTAGCAAGTTTTAGGAAAAACGGCACGGTTCTGAAGACGAATGAATATGAATTCAAGTGGAGTCGAGGATCTAATGCAGTGTGCTTAGTGAATCTACTTACTGAAGTACACAAACTTTCAACAACATTCTAATGAAACGCACATGTGGGTTTTCCAGCACCGTTCTTGTGCTGCAAAACCCACAAGAACAGTCGAGCCATTATAAGCAACAAATAAAACATGTTTTTTGGCAAACGTGGGGGCAATCCCCAACATGTGTGACCAAGTACTTCGCTCATGATTCCTGATATTATGATGAGACTGCAAAAGAATGCCTTGATGAAACAATAAACACATTAAAGCTGGGGTAAAAATGAATTAAAAGATACCAGCTACACAGTATTTTACTGACAAATGTCTGCATGGCTTCACCGACACTCTCCCTGCAGACGCAGTAGCTGCAACAGGGACTCTGTCCACCCTGTCAAACAGCAGCAAACGTGTAAAACTGCAGCTGTACAGTAATTAGCCTTGACTGTTAGCCCACCTCCCCGCCCTACTACTGCTACACACACACGCACACACACACACACACTCTCGTACATCTGCTGTGATGAGGATTCCTACACCAGATGGTGGAGCGTCCCTCCTGGACACGGTGTGGGTTCGTCTGAGCCACACCCGGCTAGTTCTTACAGCACAATTACCAGGCAATTAACAAAAAAAAAAAAAAAAAAACACAGCGCAGAGTCAACACAGCGGGCGGCAAGACACCGAGTGCAGATCTGGAATTGACTGAAACTGAGCAGAGCGGCTACAACCACTAAACCACATCAACCCCAAAAGAGCGGTGACTGTTACATGAGAAGGACAAAAACCGTGAGAGTTAACTGTTGAGCAATTGATAAAAACCCCCCGATAAAAACAGAGATGGAAGACAGATAAAGTCGTCCAGTGGGTTGCATGAGTTTCAAGTGCAACGAGCCGTGCAGTGAAGTGAGTTAATCTGTGGGGGATTACGGGGAAGCAGCAGAGACTGCGTGCAGCATCTCAATGCTGCACGTCTGCAGCGTTTCCACCGCTTCACATTCAGCCGGTTCTCCTGACGATCCGTTTCTGCCCCGATCCGCCCTTACAGCCTTTCAGCGGATCTTGATCTTTATTCGCTGCTTCAACCTTTGTTGAAGCCCAGCAGCACCGCTGCAGTTGCCATGACGATGCTGTATGTGAGCTGAAGGAGATAAAGGTCAAGAGAAAGGAAGGCAGTTTTTTTCTTTAAATATTCAAACTGAGTTTACTAGAACTCAGTTTGATGTGCAACATTCGACAGAAGAAAATCTCAGGAAGCGATGAAGAAAAAAGCAAAAAAAGAGATATTTCCAGTAGCTTCGTGAACCAAACATCTCGTATCTCACCTTGTAAGAGTATTTATCCCTAGATTTTGTTCCATTTTGTCACGTTGCATACAGCAACCTCTGTGTACTTTTAGATTTTATTTGGCAAAACAGGACAAAGTTCCACATAATTGTGAAGTGAAAGGTTTTCTAATTGTCTTCCACTCAAAGATCTGAAAAGTGTGGTGTGGATTTGCATTCAGCATCCTTTAGTGGAAACTCTGTTAGCGGCACCTTTA